CACACACACACACACACACACACACACACACACACACACAAAGAGAGAATGTACATATATACACATATGTATCAGATGGTATATGTACATATATACATGTATATGATACAAGCACATATCAAGATTTTTTCCTAGAAAGACATATGCATATATTGTATGTATCTGTATGTGTTTATATATATATATATATATATATGTGTGTGTGTGTGTGTGTGTGTGTGTGTGTGTGTGTGAATGTATATATTATATATAAATTATAATCTGTAGCCCAGACCTTTCTTCTCTCCCTTTATGTCTACTAACACTAACTGAGATGTAAATATCCACACAGATGTGTAGTCACAGACATCAGATAGGTGGGCTATGGTCTGCTACAGGTCCCAGAGGTTATCTGATAATCTTAGCCAATGAGTGAGCAGAAACTAGAGGTTTGCTAATACCCTCCAAATAGTCACCAGGCTGTTAGACACCAGAATGAACATGGATGACTATAAGGCAGCTAAAGGCAGCCCAAGATAATCCTGGACCTGGCTATAACTCTAACTGTCTACAGCCACAGAAGTTCTTCATTTAACGACCTTTAGAATGATTAACATGTGGGTGACTTTTTCTGGGCTGTCAGTCGGGTGTGCTCATGGTGAGAGAGGGGATAGCCTTGGGGATGCTTCCTTTGCTTGTCACACACCTGTTTCCTGCAAAGGGTGACAAAATCACCCCTCTGTTATACACAGGTGTTGTCATACACATCCTAGGCAAGAGAGGAATTGCCAGGGCGTCAGTGTCGCTCTAGAGTGATGTAGATAAACAGGATGGGTCCCTTGTCTTCTAAAGGGACATCTGTCCCAGAGAGCAACAGCCTCGCTACACATCTGTACTCAACAGGTGTGATTACAGCACATGTGTGTTTGTCGGGCCCCATGTTAACCTCACGCTGTTTATTCCCTACATAGCACCATCAGTGGAAGATATGTGTCCCCATAAAGCAGGCTCAGATGGGTTTAGTGACCTGCCTGAAGCCACACAGCTGTTAGTCACCAGATCGGAGAACCAGCGTCAACTTCACAGTGTACTGAAGCCTGTGACGTAAGCACATGCTGAGTTAATTCTTCATGCCCAATGGTCATAGGACATTTCTGACCCAGCACCCTTAGGCTGACTGTAGAATTTTAAGCTATGTCTTCTTTAAGCCATGGACTTCTGTCTTAGGATGATGGTATGTAGGCACCTGCCCCCTCTCCCTCCTAAGTCTGGCTAGAATTGTAAGAATAGCACATAGGGGCATTTGCCAGTGAGCTGAAATAAAAGCAGGACAGCCAGGTGAGCAGAGTGGCCAAAGCAACTGTAGCTCTTCCTGGCCTGGAGGGGGTGGGAGGAAGGGAGGCAGCACTTAAGTGAGCTATGATGGTAACACTCCTTTCCAATCCTCAGAGGAACTCTGGACTCTGAAGTGTAGGGGGATTCCTCTCGGATTTCCAGCATCCACATTTGCACTGCGATGCATTGAGGCTGGTGGCTGTGCTTGCTCTACCTGTCTTCGGCCATACAGCCCTCACCACCTTCACAGTAGCAAGCTATCCTTCAGGATCCTGGGTGCTCTGCCTCTCCACCACTTCTGAGGCCCTAAGTGAATTCACTGGATATAATCATCTGACCTGAAAGAGTTGCCAAGTCCACACCATGGCCATGTCTGTGAAGTCCCTTCCCATTTGATGTGACCAACTCATGGAGCTGGGGAGCAAGGCTTAGACGAGAGCACCCCAAGAATGGGAAATGTCATACCACTTCTGGACTTGATTTGTCAGGGCAATGGTTCCACTATCCACATAGGACCTGCCCATATCTAAATCCATTCTGTTTTGTCATCTGCAAGGCCCATAGCATCAAGAAAAGCCAGGGAGAGAATCACATATGGTTACACTTCTCAATGCTGCTCCTTCTCAGTCTCCATGGAGAGCAGGATTAGAAGAGATAACCAGGTCATGAGGAAATAGTAAGACAAAATGAAGAAAATAATTTCTCATAACCAATGTGTATCTGCTTTCAAAGGTCTGGCATGTATCCCGCCCAACACAAAAAAGGCAATTGATTATGTCTTTAAATTTAAATACAAAAGAAAAGGAGTCATACCATCTCTGGATTTTTCCTCCCAAACAAAATCCTTAGGTAATTACTTCTAAGTCCTAGAAAGGTTGGCGTTGGGCCCAGATTTCATACCCAGCTGCACTATCAAAGAAGGGATTGCCTTTGACCACACTCTTTCTGCAGGAGGACACCAGGAGCCAAGGACAGTGAACCTTCTGGTACTAAGAAGGCAACTCACTCTTGTGACATTCCAAGTCCAGAGAACCAGCAAATGCCTGGAGAGCATGGCAAAGTCAACTGTGAGTGAACCTGGGGCCTGTGTAGACTCTGAAGAAGAGAGGACTTGCTGAAGAGAAAGGGAGAGAGGCTATCGTAAAAACAAAAAGCAAATGGAAGAACTTGGAAGAAAGCTAAGTAGGGCTGCCATCCTGCAGATGCACAGCTGAGCAGCTTTCCATCAAACACCTCCAGGGAAAGTGGAGGGGAGAGAGCTAACCTCAGTCAAGGCCTCCTCAGGTGGATCCTCAAAGAATTATCTTCACAGCGATCACAACATGTGTGGGTTCCACTACTCTCATTCAGTTCATTTGTCAGCAGAACTTGGGAAACTGAACCACCCTAGAGGAGCTAAAGCAAACAAAGCCAACCTTGAGGGCTTAGCCACAAAGCCCAGGAGCCATGGAGGAGTTGGGGAGCTAACAGGTGAGGAGCATAGGTCTGAAGACCTCAGTCCAACAAAGAGACAGTGCCCATAGTTAACAAATAGGAAGCACACAAAGGTACACACTAAACAGGGCTGCAAAGGGAAACCGTGTTAGGAGGAAAAATACACACTGCATGGCAGCAGAGTTCCCCCTCCAAGCTGTCAAAGAAAGGAACCAGAAAATAATTGCATATGACATACATTAAAATGCTAATATGTGCCTCAGAGGGGTTCCCCTGGGAAGAGATTAGGTGGGAAGGGGGTCGCTTTGTTTTTTTTTTTTCATCTATCTACAAACCATGTGCACTTATAGTGCTGATAGGATTAAACAGTATAAGCATTGAAATGCATAAAACTTGTGCCAGAAATCCACATTCTAAACATGAAAGTAAGCCTGCATGCTGCTGAAGGCTAAGAGTCACTTCTGATCACTTCTGCAAAAATCTCACTAACTCAAATCCAAAGCGGGAAATTCTGTGGTTGGTTTGTTTAACTTTTCCTGGAGAGGTTGAAATCCCTTGTCTCTGTCCTTCCTCTGACCTCCTTTCTTCCTTCCCTTCCTTCTCCCTCCCCTTCTCTTTCTCTCTTCATTGCCTCTCTTTCCCTTCTCCTCCTTCTTCTCTCCCTCCCTCTTTCCTTCCTACCTTCCTTTTTCCCTCTCTGCACATATACAATATTAAAAAAAAAAAGTCAGCAGTCATTAGTAACATGAATTCAATACGGAAATGCAGAGCTGACAGCTCTTATTGTCACCCAAGGCAGAATGAGGCAGACCTACATTTGTAGATCTGCGTAACTTAACATATCAAATATTAGTGTCAAATGCAAATAAGGGCAGATAATTTTAGAGTTGTTGTTACATGACATTCAAAATCACACGCTATGTTCTGCAACACTCAGAGAAAGATAAAAATGAAAAATGAAGTTAATGAA